AGGAAATTTTCGTCGACGTACATGTGCATGAATATCTGCTTTAGAAACTGGCGCGACGAACTCTCAACAAATGACATCAATAAATCCCCTACTCCTGAGTAACACAAAATATTCGCCCCAACAATTTTATAATTGCTATGTCGTACATAGATAGCTACTGTCAGTGAATGTCGAGTCTTCCCGGAGCCAACCTTTTCCTCTGCAACGTTCGGAACTTGTACGACAATGAAGAATATTTGGTAAATCCAGCAATCCGCGGCTCTAGCCACTAACTTCACTCTCACCAACTGATTTACTCGAATTATGGGTTAACGTGGATAATATGGTAAGTCCACAGATGTGTTTTTCACTTTTGTGTAACTTGAGTGAACTAACCTTATTCTCACAAGCCATCCCACGGGACTTGTAAAGTCTTGGTTTTTTTTCCGTATTATACCGTTGTTCCATTGTTCCATTCATGTGGACGAGGTCGCCGGTTATGTTTTGCACACTTTATTACGTTATTCTCTATCGTCGGCTACCTCGACTGTATCTGATGACTTCTGGTTTGGTAGATGCACTGTCTGGTGCGGTGAAACCTTTGCTTTGACATCGTTACGCCCCATAAACCGCAATTATAACCCAGGCGACGGAAATGGCTGCTCATTTACAGCTGACCCAATTATCACAGCAACAGCAAGATTATAATCACCAACCACAGTGGGATATGCTTCAATGTGAAGAAAGACAGACGTTGTTGTTCCAAGCAGTCACAGAGACACTGACACCCATCACAGTGAAAACCTAACCCATTTCAGCTTCAGTGTTTGGCAAACGGAATGCAAGCTTTCCCATATGGCACATTCAGCGACATCACATTCGCAACCCGGTACATGCCGTATGAAGGTATCTTTCTGATTGACGCCATCAGACTTTTCGATGCGGCCAAAATACGATTGTTGTTACCGAAGCTGGGCTAAACTGAACACAATTCGTACTGTGAGTCTAATCTACCGAAAAACGCACGTGACTACAATTCCCAGGAGACTGTCGAGGTTGCACTTCTGTTTTTAGTGAAGCTCATCCTTTTTCAACATCCATTCTCAGCCTTAACACTAAAGCAGAGGATGATGTTTTCTACGAGTGTTGAGGGGACTATACATGAGAAAGTATTAGATTCAAACAACTTGCAGGCGATCAGTTTAGGTCAATCATATTTACACCCGGGTTAACCTCTGCACCTGACGCAGAAACCAGAACAAGTCTGTTATCCAAACTGGACTCATCTCTAGAGTTTACTATTCAGGACGTTATTGCAGTGTCAGCGTATGGTCGACATGAAAAACGACTCACAAATGTTACAGTCGAGACAACTGAA